AAGGGGTATCACAGTGTTGATAATCAGCCTAAGGGGTATCACAGTGTTGACAATCAAGCTAAGGGGTATCACTGTTTGTTGGAAATGAACTTAAAGTCAGGACAATCAACCTGAGGGGGCATATTTGAGAGGGAATATTTGTCTTTATCGTTGAGATTGTTGAAACATCAAAATATTAGAAACAAACTATTCAATATCGAGTTGAACCATCATAAGATAGCGGAAACATATTGCAATTACTTGTGTCTTCCAAAAGTCAATCTAAGAGACAATATATTAGAAGTATATTTGTATGGGCTTAAGTGTATTGTATTTGCTCAATTAAAATTTGTCCATCTTCAATAAAAGTGTATATGAACCAAAAATCACATTTGCTGTGTAGAGGCATAAAAATATTACCATTCTGTAATTTACAAAAGTGCAATTATGTAATTTTAGGAATTATGAAAAGAAAATTTTGTTTTCCTGAAAAATCATAAATTTAAATTTAATGACAGGATAAAAATTGAGAGATGCTCATCCATGATTTTAACAAACAAATTGATCAGAACATACTAACCAATAAAAAGCTTGTGAAGTCTTTGTGATTTTTTTTTTGTATTTATAAAATTCTTGGGAGAATACATGCCTTTAGGCTTTTTAGAGCAACATATTTGATGTCGTCTGAGAGTCTCCCAACCTTGGGAATACATCCTGACAATCAACATTCCAATTAGTCTGCAGGCTTTGCAAGAAGATTTCTGATTATTTCCTCTCATTAAACAATTTGCAAATAAAATACTATGATGTAATGTAAGAAGAATGTAATATTAAAACCATTATAACACAATGATGAATTATGCAATTAAATTAATTAGATAATTAATCATTTAAAGTGAAGGAACTTATATTTGTATCTTGAATTCATTTGAAACCCAATCAATTTATAAAGAATTCTATGAAATATTTATTTATTTATTTTTTTTACGGCGCAGTGTTCTTATTCTTTATTACATTTGTAGGGCTGGAAATTTCAGTGAATTTTGACGAATAACTTTATAAATAAATTTAATTTCATTATTAGTATCTAATCTTATGCACTGTGTTATAAATTCCTATGTTTTTCAGTGACATAAAGCGTATTGGAATTTTACATCTTCATAGGAAATTTAATTTAATTTAGCTGTTTTCACTTTTCAACAAAATACCCTTTGTATAATAAATACATTTACAATAGTTTTTATTGTGAAGTTATTATTAAATCAATTTGTACAAAGAAACTAAAACTAATTGATTTCAGTATAGACTGTGGTTTTAGAGAAGTATTTGTGAATTAGCATCATGTGGTAACCACTAGGAATATGTCTGCTTTCTTGACTGATAGTTAGAGCTGGTTTATTCTACCAAATTGTTAGTTTCAATTATTGTTGAGTTGTTAGTTAAGTGGTCACTTTCTGCGGTCCCTATTGATGTATTGGTACATTTTCAAATGTCCTATTGTGATTAGAATGTATTTGTGTTTTTTTATTATCAATAGCATAATTTTGCCTCTCATCGTTATGAATATGTGAGCTAATAATCCCATGAATTCTTCTGTAACACTTTCATTTCGCTGCTATTATAATTTCGTTCTTCATTCAGGATATTATTTAAAACTCTAATATGAAAATCCTGCATAGTGTGAGCCCTTTCTGTCATTTATTCTGCATGAACAGGAAATTAGGTCATACCAAATAAAATTTCAGCGTATAGTGGAAACAACGACTGAACGCAGTGATACTGTTGTATGATAGGAACATTAGATGGACGTTATTTTCAATGGAGTCAAATGTATTGTGCTATAGTAGAAATACAATACATGTCCAACCTCAAGCCAATTAAATACTTCCTTACCAGCTGATGTCTTTTTAAAGTGGAATTTGTTTACATGATTTCATATTGTTGAAATATGGTTGTCATGGTTGTTACAGTCTTCAGAAAATGGAACCCTGCGGGTGTTTAATTGCTTAAAAAAAAAAAAATATTAATAAGTTAACTGGTTATGAATAGAAGAGTTTTTCTTGATTTTTTATTCTCTGTTCGGGATTCATGGGAATTCTAATGCCTCTGCTGGACAATAGAAAATAATGAAGTGATTAGAGAGTATGAAGAACTGTGCAGGGAGGAAAGAACAGAAAATAAAACGGGTGGGAGTTTGATTGTTATCTTATGAGCTGACAGAAAAGAAAATACTTGCCAAGGGAGAAAGAATGATGGGGGATATTAATCTGAAAAGGTTACAAAATAAGGAACAAATTAAAAAAAGAAACAGATAAGAAAAAAAAAAAATTCAAAATGTCAGGAAAGATAGGAAAGAGAAAGATAAGGGAGTTGTCATGGTGATGGATGTATACAAATTTAAAGTGACTGAACTTTTTTTAAAAATGATTAATGCATGGGTGGTTTTGGGTTGTTTTATTTTAACATTATTCATTCACTGACTGTACCAGTATGATGAGGATATTGTCAAGTACATCTTTTCTCGTAAGGCCCGTTTATTGGACCTTTACCTCGTGCTATATGTTTACGGATTCTAGTTAGGAAATGCGTAATTCAGTATTTTTTTTTTTTCCTTTACCAAATACTAGGGGAAACTCTCATAGGGTGAATGTTTTAGCGGCGTTTCCAATCGGTTTTATATATTTCACTATAAAGTCAAATACACTACTTCTCAGTAGAATCATGCATGGATTTGAGGGGGATTGAGTGCTATTTAAGTTTGCCCCAAGAAATGTGATTTGTATACGATACGGTATTAAATATAGCTAGTCAACATATTCTTTAATCTCTTGTAGTTGGAAGCAATTTTCATGTCAATTTCAGAGTTTGTGGGTTAAAAAAAAACCACTTGTTAAGGCATGAGGCTGTCGTCTTATGTTTTAATATAAGAATGAAAATACTCTTTCATTTAATCAACTAGTTATATTCTCCATTATAACATTTTTCATATAACTGAACTATTTGTGATATTGACGCCTCTACATATGTGTGTTTAACAGATGGTTATTGTTGAACAACATTTCAAAAGGAGGTGTTTGAAGGTCATTAATTTTTGTGTAGATGTTGGTGGGGCGTTGGAATTGTTTGTTTCGTGTTATTAAAATTTGTTTTCATTGATTGATTGTGCTAGTTATGCATAATTAACGAATTTCACTTTAAATCAAGTGTTATTCATTTGATAAAGAAGATTGCTGTTTTATTTGACACTTTGGTTACTCATCACTCATGTATTGTAACCATGGCAACAGCTTTATTAATTTGAACTTCGACAGCTGTGTATGCTTTTATGACCAAATCCAGGTACAAAACACAATATTACAATACTCTAATAGAAGCATTCAGACTCGCACACACACTCAAAATAAGCATATTTAATGACGTCCTCCTGTCATTTACAAAAGCGTATGTGCTAACAACAGAGCAAATACAGGAAATAAAAACCCATTACCATTCCTGTTTTTGTGTGATTAAAAACATAAGCTTTTTAGTAGAGTGGTGCATTTTACCCACCTGGTACTTGCATCAATAATAACAGAGATACAATGTATCATTTGATTGGCTGAAAAGCAACCACTTTCTTGCATGCAGTATATCATTAACGAATGAGCAAACCTGTTGCAAGTAGTTCTGCATGCACTTTCTTTCTTGGCGGGGCATTAAAATTGTTTGTCTCATCAGGTTTCTCGGTAAAAACGTACATGCAAATTTTATTAGAATAAACTGTGCATTATTTGCGCACATGTTTATTCATATTGAATTGGTGCAGTTGTGACACCGCTTTTTAGTAATGAGTTATTTTTGGTAGAAAAAAATCATGAATGTTGCTATGACAATGAATCAGAAACTAGCTGCAAATAAATCGCATTAAGTAACACTGAATTTAATGTTGAATGAATTTGTCTGTAAAAAACATTGTTATTTATGATATCTAGCAACATGTGATTATCGTAACTCTAATCCTATTTGTTAACACTTCTATGTTGTCTGATGGAGTTGATCGTAATACGCGGTTACGGCTCACATTAGTGTGATATTAGACTAATCTGTTATACCGTAAAAATCAAGTTTGTATCGTAAAAACCAGTATTAAATATACTATACTGCTTCTGTCAAAATTTAATAAATTTTGTCATTGAAAACTCTCACTTAATTAACTTGTAAAATATGTAATACTTGCTATTTCTATGTTCTCTGAAGTTGCTTTATGTTAACCATTAACCAGGTGCACTTTCACAATTTCTTTTCTTTTTTACTTAATCCTTGATTCCCTTGTTGTCCTGAATGAACACTGTACATGGTGCTATATCAAAATACAATAGAATAATTTTATCAAAACATAACAGCCCTCGAAATGAATGAAAAGGGTTACAATTGAGAAGAATACCCAAAATAAAAGTACATGAAATTCAGTTTAAAAAAAAAAAAATATGACAATGAAGGTACGTGTTGCTCTCTAATATGACCTGCGCAAGCGGTATTGACATATCACTACCAATAAGATATTAACAATTTTTTTTTGATTAAAAAGAATGTACCATTAATTTTTTCACCTTCGAAAACAATTTTTTTCTTTGCGATTGGTAAAAAGAAGAAAACACTGAGGAATGTTGTTCATCTTCAATGTCATTGCCATCCTAGTATTTACAAATCTTTTTCTTAATAGGTACATTGTCATGTAATATATCGTATTTGCTCTTGTATCGTATGCGTTTGTATACTGGATCATTAAAATATTACTTCGTTTGTACATACTGCTGTCATTTACGTATGTTTATACGCTACAAATAGTACAAATATGGTATGCTTACAAAAATAGTACGCAATTCATTTCCAGCAGTGTGGATGTTGTTTGTGTGTGCGTGGGATGAACATGTGTAACCCCGTGTATATTTAGGTGGTAATACAAACGTCTTATTTCATTTGTATTACGTGAATTAAAGAAAAATTAACAAATTGAAAAAAAAACTTGCTTAAATGGAAATGATAAATGAGCTAAACAATCCAAGTTCATATTTCTAATTGTGTAATTAGGATTACAATAAAATTAATCAATTTTCAAAATGCCAAATTTAGCTATTATCTCCTTTCCCCAGTATTGAAATTAATTTACCTATTAACATGTGTTTAGTTGCTAGGCAACAGTATCATTCGCAATCCCCGTGAGGTTGTATAGCAGTTTTCACTGCAGGGAATTCATTGCATTTACCCTTCTTCGGCTTTGAGTTATGTTTTACCGTGCTTTTCTGTGGTGTAGCTCATAGGTCAGAAAATTGATGTCTAATTTTGCAAACTGAATTGACATTTTTTTGTGAAATGTAATTTATAAATCATCAATAAACAAAATATAAATCATTTGTAAAATTATTTTAATTTTGCCATTACTGTATGACAATTATTATATAAACATTGCACATGTACACAATAGTGAATTGCAAGTCAGTAAGTACTATATAATTATCGTTACGACCTACTTATAATCATTGCGGTACTAAACTAAATTATGTTTATTTAATGCATTGTGTTATATTAGATGTACTTTATATTTTGTTGTTTGTGGAACTATTTCATTTCAGTGTACTTGTGTATGGGGAAGCCCAAATCAAAATTGTAGAAATTTAATCCACATGTCAGTCAAAATTAGAAATTTTAATTTAAAAAACTGTTAAAGTTTTGTTACTAGGAGTTTTTATGATTTTGTTAATTGCAAATTTGTGTCTTGCGAAAAGTAAAGCAGTATTTTGAGGGAAAAGTTGACCATGGTATTTTTTTATTAAATAGGCTGTCAATAGCTGGTCAAACAAATATTTTATTTATTTTATTTATTTATTTTATTTATTTTATTTATTTATTTATTTATTTATTTATTTATTTATTTATTTATTTATTTATTTATTTATTTATTTATTTATTTATTTATTTATTTATTTATTTATTCATTCATTCATTCATTCATTCATTCATTCATTCATTCATTCATTCATTCATTCATTCATTCATTCATTCATTCATTCATTCATTCATTCATTCATTCATTCATTCATTCATTCATTCATTCATTCATTCATTCATTCATTCATTCATTCACCTACATACATGTACCTACTGTTTATTTTGTTATTTGTTATTAACAAATCTATCGCCTTTGCCTCCCATGAATGTTACATCAACAACCCATCTTCTTAAATTCAATTTTTTTTAATTTCAGACTGCTGCTTACTCACTCCACATGGAGGCGCAAAAATGGTCAAGTAAAGGTAACGAAATTGTCGCTGCTGCCAAGAAGATGGCTCTGTTGATGGCGCAAATGGGTAGACTTGTCAGGTGAGATGCTAAACCGTAATCAATTGACTTTATTTCACAATGGATGGTCTTAATTGCCTTTTCATGTCCTAATTAGTAGTCATTGTCTGTATCTGTGAAATTGATCCCCCTAGTTCGTGTTATTATCATGCTTTTGATCTCGACCCTGTTTCGTCTCATAATTCCTTTCAGTCGGCACTTTGCTTGAATGCCAAAGTTCAGTTGCAGACTCGGAGACTCGAATAACAAAAGAAATCTAAGCAGATTTATTTTCTCACCTCTTTAGTGATGGGTTGTATCTAAGTTTATCTTGGATAATTGCTAAAACGTGCATTCACTGTTTCCAAGTGTCAAGTGCACAGGAACCATGTCTTATAGGTCAATTTGCATTTAAATTGGTCTTGTTTTGCTTATTGTGGTAGCTGCAGTCATTGTTTGTGTTTAAGACATTGAACTTCTTTAAGCTATATTTTAAACCAGGAAGCTTTTCAGTATTTATAGTAACTTGAATCGTGCATTCCCCCAAAACAATTAGACTTGAATCAGGCATCTACCATGTAGTCCGCAAAACAAATGAAACTTGGGGGGAATGTAATGCAGTCAGGAATCTGAAAAGAGAAATGTAGCAATCAATATTTCCATTCCTCAGAGAAAATTAATTTCTTCAGTGACTATATGCCCGTATATCACAAAATGGTTTCTCATTTATTGTGTATAACATAATTATATTCTCTCGCAGATTTTGAAAACCTGTTGAACAAATTGCTTGAAAATTACAAATTCAAATTATATAGTGACATTTAAGAATCAAGTGTTCACACGTAACCTGAAACTTTTGCCATTTATTATAAAAGCTGTTTTATTGATTTTTTTTGACTGAATTCTAGTACTAGGTAGAACAAGATTAAAATACTGTGTACATTTAAAGTGAAATTGCAAAATTGTTTATTCACAGCTGCTGGGATCCATCAGTAAACAATATCCTGTTTCTACTTGAAATGTAATCAACAAATTTGTCGTTGCACGTCTTACATTATTTCTCGGATTCTCTTGACAGGTTTTGATGGAAGTTTGTTCAATTTATGGTTTTAAAATAGGTTTCCATTAGCACAATATCCTGTCATTTATTTGACCTGACATGAAATAAAAAATACCATTACTTGAAAACATGTAAAATAAGAAACAGACATAACTTGTCATCGCTATTTTACAAAACAAAATATTTATCATGATCCATAGCCAATGGTTCACAATTACCAGTAATGAAACAGTCATAGAACTACATGTTGTATAACCATTGAACCAAAATATTGGTGAGAAACATTAGTATTTGAAAAAGGGTTAGTCAAATAAGATAAAACCATTTATTTTCTCTGGTATTTAATTTCACTATTTTGATGTTTTCAGCAATGTCAACTACATTTTTCATGTTTTTACAACAGGGGTGAAGGTGGTTCAAAGAAAGAACTTATACACTGTGCCAAAGCAATTGCCAAGGCCTCTGAAGAGGTGACAAGATTGGCCAAGGAAGTGGCTAAACAGTGCACAGACAAGAGAATGAAACTGGTTAGCTTTTTTTTTTCTTTCTCCATACTGATCAAAATGGATGCTTGATGGCCATTTTGTGTTTATATGTATCTATATTATTGAACATTTTTGTTTCTGACCTTGCCTGTCGCTTTGCTTATTAGTCCCCGTTCGGACGAAGTCCGAAAACGGGGACTTATAATTCGGTCTCCGTCCGGAGTCATATCTCAGAATCCCTTGGGCC